CCCGATGAGTGTACATCAGACGTCAGCATACTTGCATCTTACCTTAGTCTCGGACCCTTTATCCCCCGTCTTATTGCTACTACTAGCCAAGGATGCCACACCCAATAAGAGTGTTTTATACGCTGGTAGTAACCACTCTAGCAGATATGATGTATGCCGACGTTATGGTAGATTTGAGGCCTTAGGCTGAGGCTCTTATCCGCTGAAAGTGATCTCCTTATTCACTCAGTCAATTGGTGACCGTAAGCGTGGAGTAGATTCCTATAAGATATAGAGGTCGTATGAGTAGCCACCTCGGCTGGTAGTCGTCGATGGTGAGAGAGTAAGGCTGCTGGTGGTACGTATTACAGAAATCTCTCCATGCATAGCTGCTGTATTACAGCATGCTTGAAGGACTAGAGTTGTTACGTTCTTCAGGATAAACGTGTGAAGGACTCGTCCGTTAACCTCCCAACAGGCCGTCCGGCCCTCTACAAGGCAGTGCCGTGTATACGCCTGTCTGTGTGCTGTCCTTGATGGATGAACTACGATGACCTTCGATAAAGACCCTGATGAGCTTGCCGTCACTTTTTGTTCCTCCACACATCAGTTCTCACTACATAATAGGGGATATCGAGTTATAATGGGGAATTCGGGAGTCTCCAAAGTTGATTTATTCGATGGATTTCATCGATTCCTTACATGCAGAAGTAGACGATATATCAGGAAGTCTTCCACACTCTGATGATCAGTGGGAGCACACCGGGTTCATGGACATTCTATGTGGTATGCCCGTGCAAGCTTCGCCTCCTCAATCGCCCGCAGTCTCTCCTTCCTCCCATAATGAGTTGCACAGAGTCTCGGCTAGCCAGGACGATACTTTCCTCGAAGTTTTGACTGGTGAAAGTACGGCGATACTTGAGCATCACACCATCGATCCCGTAGTACTGAAGACGTTCCCAAGATGGTATTACTTGGAACAGCACACACAACCGACATGTGCTATATGTATGGAGGAGTTCATACCAGCATGTCTCATGCGAACATTGCCGTGTTTGCATCATTTCCATGTTGACTGTATCGATCGGTGGTTGCTCGAAGAGAGCTCAGAATGCCCCTCATGTAAGACTGATTTCGGCTGTGGGTGGCCGTTGGAGCAAAACTGTCGTGATATACGAGAATGTGGTATATGAGTTCTATTATGCTTTTGCGTTGTCAGTGGTAGAAACCATTACAGGATCGGTGCGATTGGTAGAGGCAGAGTCATTCAAAGTGTGTCGATACTACCAATCCTTCGCTGCAATACTGACTAGTCGGACATGGTGATATGGATAATAACTCAACTCCTGTGGACAGCAGCGATAAGAATATGTTAACTGGCATCGATCATCACCACCAGTATCACAATTATAAGCAGTAGCAGGATCAGTTGTAGTGGAATGAGCATAGTCCAATGTGTATACATAACAGTGATGATGATGACATTGAATAACGGTATAGTATATTATCATAGACGATGATGGTGGTGACGCTAGTTGTTGTCGATATTGTTGTAGTTATGCTAGGTACAACAACATGGAGGAATGGTTTCCTATATAATCATTACGAAGAGGCGCAACACTTGCTATGATGTGTCTGTATCTGCTGTCCTCCACTTGTTGCCCCTTCTAACTGTACTCGCATCCGCTCTTGTTGTTCTTCTATTGATGGAGTGTCCGCTCCAGCCCGTAATGGTGTTGGCTTTGACGAGTTAACCTGATAGGTCCTCAGCAGCATCACACAGTGGCTGTTGGTAGCTGCACCTTGTATAGTTCGGGAGAATATACACAGGCTCGACTATGCTCAGTTCGCTATGTGCGACATCGTGATGAGGAGAAATATTCGAGGATACATCGAAAAACTATCGCGGATTTTCCAGGCATTTCTACCTCAATTCGTATGTTAGTTCGGTTGATACAGTGAGGAATCTAGTGACCTCCCGAGGTGAACCCGCGGATACCTTGTATATATCCTCTAGGATCTCCTGGAAGGCCTCCTCCACATTAGTCGCCTCCAAAGCACTGGTCTCTATGAATAGGAGATCGTTGTCGGTACAAAACTTCTTTGCCTCATCTTCCTCGACCGCTCTAAAAACAACCCCAATCCTACCTGCCTGCCTTGAATGTAGATGTTCTCACCTCAAATGGGATAGATCACATTTGTTGCCGACTAACATGACCACGATATCACTATCTGCATGCTCACGCAGTTCCTTCAACCATCGTGCAGCGTTTTCGAATGATGAGCTACTCAATTGCACCACTAATTGTGATTAATGTGTGTGTATTCTTACCGTTTGGATATATCATAGACGAGTAGAGCTCCGACGGCACCTCGGTAATACGCTGATGTTATGGCACGATAACGCTCTTGGCCTGTGAATGGTAACATAAACATGAACACAGTGAATAATGATACCCACCCGCTGTATCCCATATCTGAGCCTTCACCACTTTCGAGCCTATACGGACCTGTATATTCATATGATACGTGCATGGGAGTAATGATGATGATCCTACTGATTTGGTAGCGAACTCTACGCCAATGGTAGACCTAGACTCCAGATTGAACTCTCCTCGTGTGAATCGGCTAAGTATATTAGATTTGCCCACACCACTGTCACCTGAGGTGGATATGGAAAGGGAGTTCTCCAATGCGAGGCTGTTGCTCACCAATTAACACGACTTTGAAGAGGTAGTCGTAGTCTTCCTCTGCTGTTGGATTCTTACTAGGCATGGATATGCTACTGGGTGAAAACAATCGACTACAGCATAATGATGACCTCTCCTCAACACAACGTGTTAGTACAAGTAACAGGGAGACAAGGCATGCAACAACAAGACAGATAATGATGGATAGGGACATGGTTATCAGTAGCTAATGAGACTCTATTACCAGGGAGCTCGACAGAGAGCGCTGCTACCATGGGGTGATGACACACCTCAAAATAAGGAGGGGGGAAGTGTTGGTAATAGATACTGAAAGGAACTCACCGCCAGCACCTCCATACCCACACAGACTACATCCGATTGTAGCCAATCGGCAGCACTCGTAGCATGTACTATCATCATCGTCCACACCCATAACATACCTGTTACTACTAACGAACGGCACGAATACCACTACCGAGCATGCTGATGACATAATCACCATCAAACGTCTCACTAAAATTAGCAATCCACCAGTAAACGCTGTAAGAGAGGTTTAGGAATTATTTCAATTTCCGGACTTGAGGTGTGCATGGTGTCCGACTGTAGTTGGGTATAGCAGGGTCACCTAGCCGATGATGATAACATACTTAAGAGATATAGCCTTCGGTACTGAAGTGGACTACCGATGGATACCACAGGTAGACGACCCCTGGTCACCGCATCCTTGCCGCGATGATATCAGCAAGTGGACAAAGGTCCAATATCGTACACCACTCTTTGGTAGTAGTATCACCACTATTGGCAGCTGAAGGGTTATGACACGAATGTTGAATCCATTGTAACACTGTATTGCTACCTCCGTCACAGAAAGCACATCGCACAGTATCCCAAAAGCGACGTATATGGACCAACGTGATAGTACCTATGCTCCGTTCAGGAAGGAATGGTATGAAAAGCCATCTTATCGCCTCTCGAACAATTCTCACAGTCCCCTGCCATGACCTAGAACTGGCGAGTAACACAAGTAATCATGACACCGCTGGTGTAGGCAAGAAGCTAGTGGAGAATGAGGCGGCAGCGGCGGCGGTCAGCATAATGATGAATAACTACGAGGGTTTAGGAAATGAAACAACGCAACGTTGGAACAGAATGTAAGGTAAGTGTCATGATATTGATGATAGTTTGAAACAGAATGTGTAGTTAGTGCAGTACTAGCACACCACGGAGAATTGCTTGTATCAATCCAGCTTATCGGACTGCCGAAGCTTGTCAAGTATCTAAATAGTATCATCACCGATGACCACCTACATCATCATTATCAGTAGTACCACTGCAGAGATAGTATCCTCTATCTCACCATAAAGTAATAGGGCATCCATTATGTGATACACCTAACCGTAATATTAATGATGATAGCAAGTTGCTATTAGCAACAGTGGTATCATCACTGTTATTATTACCTTATCAAAATGGAATACCAAATCTAGCTCGCATACATTACCAAAGTAGCCGTCTAATACCTCTACGAGTAGGTGTATGAGCTCTAATACACACATCTAAGGTTGATGGATACGGGATAGGTAAGGTGCTGTTAGCAGCATACCTCATTATCATTGACATCCACACAGAAACTAAAGAATAGGCCAGCATACCGACGATAGATGACTTTATAATTACGATACTCTAGGAAGTTGGTAGACCTGCATTAGGCCGACTCATGTACCGTCCTAATACTGAGTATTGTCATCACTACCGGTTATCCCTAGACACCACAGCCCGGTGTATCTCCCTCTCTACCTTATTTTTCTGAGCTGCATTGTACGGTACATACCACCTAGATAGACGCGTCTTCCCTTGCCTATTCTGCACCAATACAAACCGTATCATCGATAAAAGAATAGCAGCAGTAACAACAACCTAAAAACGAGGCGCATCACACCGCAAGACCCAATGAAATTTTTTGGCGGTTTTGCGCGCGCCACAGAATTCCGCTGCGGCAGTTCAGCCACAAATTTATGATCCTGGCCACAAAATTATTGCATCGGCGACTAATCGCCGATGGTCGAAATCACTCTGGCTCAGCGCTTGGAATGTCTAACTCAGAAATGCTCTTATCGCGAACTTACAAGTTGTAAGTTACAACCGGCTCTCTTCTTGTAGTGTGGCAGCCACACTGTGGGCCACAGACTGTGGCTATGCTCAGGAACTGCAGATGTAGTGAAATAGAACCTCCCAGTAGTTGTCAAGTTGACAATGTCAACTATAATAGGCGGGTCCTGCCAGCGAATTTTTATCTTGTTCGAATCTGCATGGACCCTTCGAACTCGAGTATGGCCCAAGCTAGTAATACTAGCCTAGTACTACTAGCCTAGTACTACTAGCTTAGTACTACAAAACAACCCCGCTATTTTAGAGAAGTCTGTCAACGAAGCTGCTCAAGAGGCAATGAAGAGAGTCTGTGAAAGCGGCGTGTCCCATACGGAGGAAGGCCCGAATGGCCCGTCGAGCTGTCCCGAAGCCCAGACGACTCGGGACCACCGCGGTCCAGGCACCAACAACGAGCTCGCTAGCAGTCAAGTTTTCAGTTCTATCTATCGTCGACGCAGAGGCGCATCTGGCCGAATACGCCGGACTCGAGCCGGGATTGAAGATGGTTCTCAACAATAGCTACCAAAGAAAGCGCATCATCAACGGTACGCGTCGCTACAGGTGCCCTCGCGCTCGATCCGCTGGATGGAAACGGTGCAGCTTCACAATGCTGATAATGACTGGGTCAGATGGTTCGCGGATATGGCGGCAGCGCAAACACCCCATTAACGCCAAGTATGGCATGGTTTCCCAGCCCAAGCTGTCGGGAGAAGTGAAGAAGTGTGAAAGTTGGCAGTGTCCGGTTGCCAGCCATAGAGCACATTCCGTTATCCCCGAGAACGAGGATACCTACCTCCAGGACAAAATGTCATGATGAAGATCTATTACCTCAGGCAACGAGCTTTCAAACATAACGGAGGTCGACCGATGCCAGGAGGGTCTCTCACAGAGATAGCGGCGCTTCGCCGTGAACGACAAGAGATGATACCGTACGGGGAAAGTAGAGATGAAGTCACAGCCCGTCTAACTCATCGCCTAGGGTAAGTCACGAACACTACTG